CGTAACATTATGAGAATATAGGCTGCTCGGAAAGTATGAATGAATAGGCTGGTGCGCTATGGGGAATTTTGAGCATTTTGTAAAGGAGAAGAATCCGTGTATCATTCGTTAATTTGACTGAATAAGGACTGAATCAGGACTAAATCAGGTCCAGAACCAAACCAGAACTAAGACCAGGATTGAGACCGGGACCAGACCAGGACTGAGGCCGGTTTAGTCCTGGTTTAAGTCACGGAAATGGGAAACGGAGTTTCCGTGACTTTAAAATGCGATGCGGGACTATTGCGCCGCATACGGACTGTCAGGACTGAACCAGGACTGAATCAGGACTAAACCAGGACTAAACCGTTTTCAGTCCTGGTCTGGTCCTGGTCTCAGTTCCGGTCTGGTCCCCGTATCACGGTTTGGTCCTGGTCTGATCCCGATCTTAGTCTTGGTCCCGTACTCAGTCCTTGTCTGGTCCCGGTCTAAGTCCTGGTCTCAGTCCCGGTCTGGTCCCAGACCTGGTTTAGTCCTGGTTCAGACCTGGTTCAGTCTGGAGGCACAAATAATGAAGAAAATAGTTGTTGTTTTTTCGTTTTCTTATTTTTGGTCACATTTTTCACTTTGACTTTGATTTTATTACGACTTCATTCTCATAATATTATAACTTTATTTTCATAATATTACGACTTTATTTTAACTTCGACTTTATTCTCGTAAAATTACGACTTTTTCTGGCTTCGACTTTATTCTCATAATATTCTGACTTTAATGTCGAAATGTTACGACTTTATTCTCGTAGCACCAGCATCATTTGTTTTTTTTTTATCTGACCCTTATACTCCGTCATAGAGTTATGTGCACTGTCCCTGATAAATAGACAAATAAACTTAAAAAAAACAACTAAATATTATTTCTCATCTTATACTAGTTTTGATATAGATGAATTCAGGATGCAAGTCAAAATGTGTTCAAATTTGTGTCTAGTTTCAATACTAGTTTTAGTATTGATTAAGTGTAAATATTTTCCAACCCTACTATCTAAAAATAAAAATAACTGAGAAAGGTTTTGCATAGTAAATGTTTGTGTAAAGCAGTGCTTCTCAAATAGTGGGGCGCGTTTGACCTCGGGGAACATGCTTTTTGATTTTTTTTTATTTTGATTTTTTTTTTACTGTCTTAAGGGCCGTTCACACCAAAGCGTCAAAAAACGCCTTGACGTCTCTATTTGGAGCCTTTGCATTTGAGTTTAGACGCCCCCGACGCGCATCTTTGACGCCGTGGACGAACGGGACAAAAATACTTGACGCGCGTCCGTTGCCCTGGAAACAAGAGCCCGGTCCCGGTCTTTTCCCGAAACAATGTCAGACCAGACTGACAGAGTGTTTTTATGACATAAAACATCAAAGGAGGAGATCGGGTCGACGACTGGGGCGTATATATATTTCTACTCCGCTAATGACACTGGATCAGTCCCGGTCTAGTCCTGGTCTAATACCGGTGTGGTCCTGGTCTAATCACGGTCTAGTTCCGGTCTAGTCCTGGTCTAATCACGGTCTAGTCCCGGTCTGGTCCCGGTCTAGTCCCGGTCTAGTCCTGGTCTAATCACGGTCTAGTCCCGGTCTAGTCCTTGTTTAGTCTCGGTCTAGTCTCGGTCTAGTCCTGGTTTGGTCCTGGTCCGGTCCTGGTGTATTCCTCGCGATCGGCTCGGTGATTGTGGCGTATATATTTATTCTCCGTTCATGTTTGTGGTTCTCTTTCTGGTTCTCGGGTTTTTCTTCCTGATAATAACGTCGCTGCGTCTCTGGATACTCGTCCCTGATTGGTTGACGCGGCGCGTCTGACGCGAAAAGTTCAGCATTTTCAACTTCTTGACGCTGACGCCTTGGACGCGCGTCTTGGCCGCTGACGCCAAAACGCTGAAGACGCGCTGCGCTGACGCCAGATTCGCGCCGCGCTGACGCCGAAAACGCGCCGCAAAAACGCAGGACGCTCTAGTCGCGCGTCCACATAGACTTTACATAGAAAGTGCAGCTGACAGCAGCCGACAGCATGAAGCCCAATAAATTAAGGCGTCACTTAAATACATTACACCCCAATCACTCTGATAAGCCGCTTGAGATTTTTCAGCGAAAACGTGCCGAATATTGCCGACAATCATCCCGCTTTGTGACTGCTACTTCAGTAAACCAGCGAGCGTTGTTGTCATATAAGGTGGCAGTGTTACGTACAGGTGTACTTATAACAATTTTATAGACAAATGATACTATCTATAGTCACGCGGGGGGGCGCGAGATGTTTTATTCGTCCTAGGGGGGGCATGACAGAAAATAATTGAGAAGCACTGGTGTAAAGAGAGGGGTAGATCTTTATTTTTATAGTGTGCATTGTCAAAGAGCTGAGCCACCATTTGCATGTTACAGTATACAGTCTGTGCTACATCATTGAACCATACACATACAATCCCCATAGTTCATATCATTGTGCGTCCTAAGCTCTCACTGACTCAAGCAGAAACAGCATATAATGATCCATGTATGTGCAGGGAAGGACATAAAATACAGTAGCTCTGCCCTATCACTGGGATGAGTCATAGATTTTTATTGTGGTTCCCAGAGGCCTGTGCGCACACTCTGTCATGTCCTCGTTCCATTTTTCTGTTGCTCACTCTTTCGTTTCGCTGATGAATGAATAAATTGGTGTTTAATTGAAAGGGGACGGTTATCATTTCCTATTATATTAAACATGCTTTCAACAACCAGGAAGTGGCAATTTGCATAAATTAATTCACATCAAGTTAAAATTGTCCTGAAAACTTTTCCTTATATTGCCATTTCACCTATTGTATTTTAGGCCTTTTGCAAGAACATAGAGAAAAATCCCGCACACCGTCTTACTTGCAAATTGTGAGATTTATTAGGACAAACTCTGCAACATTTTGGCACTAGACCTTTGTCAGGCAAACAGAATGAGCGCTCAGGTGGCCATCTTAAAGAAGGTGTGGCAAGCACCAAAGGGTGCAAGGGACAGGTCATAAAGAAATATAGCCCATATACAAGTGGGCTGTATATGGGCTATATTTTAAGCTAAAATTGTTGATAAACTGCTGTTTTTTGTTAGAATTTTGCCACATTTGATGTCTAGTCATTGATAGAAATTATCAGGTTCAATATTTGCGGATTTTTCTTTGATATATATGTCATCAGTGGGAAAAACTCTTGCACAGTATGACATAATCACATTCTAGCATCTGAAAATTATTGCTGGCCGATATGGCAAAACCCCAACCATATCTTTGACAATTACACTGAATTGCCCAGCCCTATATTAAACCACTAATTGCAGGATTTCAGGTGATAGTGAGTTCAAGGAGAGAGCCACTGATAGAAATGATCAGGTTAAAGAGTTGTGAATTATCTGTTTGGTATTTTTATTTTATTTTGTATTATTTTTAATGAAAATATTTTGTATGTAAAGGGAGTGTGTCAGCATCCCATTCTAAAATCTAAGACACCAGTTAATGGGAATGATACTGATGATGGTGCGTTTTGACAATGCATATTGCAGTGACTGTATTACGGGCTCTGCTTTGAATGGCTCACTTGCCGTTCTTTCACTGTCCCTCATGCTGAACTGATGGCTGAGCTGCCTGGGGCTGGAGCAGACGCCTAGGCAGGGCCCAAAGCTTAACACAACCTTTCAGTGAGTGACAAAAGGCCATTTCTGCTTCAAGTGCTTCTCACAATCTGCACTAAACTGTTGAGGAAATGTAGCCTCAAGACGTCTCTATACATTTGAATTTCATTCTGGCTTAAATAATGATGCCTGTATCAGCAAATGCATTAATCGTGCTTACACCTTAATGTGCTGATTTATTTACACTAATGGTTATAAACTTTGCACAGCAAGTGCCCCTTAAATTGTGTTTGACCTCTCATGCACGACCAAATCCAAACTAGGTCTATAACAGGATTTATCTGTTCTAACCTAGGACTACACCATTATTACTGTACTTCTAAACAATAACTTATTCAAAGGAGAACAACTTAAAAAAAACAACTTTAAATTACACAAACATAAGACATGTACAATAATCCGCCAGAAGGAGCTCCACCAAAGGAAGCACCTATACCACAGTCTGAGAACCTCCGATGTACATTATTACATTGTTGTTATATTTCTTTGCCATGACTGTTCCTCCTGTCCTACGTCACCCTCATTTAATACTGAAATACCTTTACTTTATTACACTATGCAACCCTAGTACTGATAGATGGTGTAAACAATGCAGTATGTCTTCAAATAAAGGTACCTCTGTCCTAAACATCTGACTCACCGTTTTATGCATAAGCTCTCACATATCACAGTTGTCACAGAGGGAGCTGCTATAATACCTAATACCATTTGCTACATATGCATCTATTGTCAGCATAACTTCAGTCAACCTTGTGCCTTTTTGTCCATGTTTTTGTGCCTTCAACTGTAACAGAAAGTTATCTTGGAAAGATACATCACTGCTTTAGACACTCAAAAATTGTGATGTATTTTTAAAATGGTAGTCATAGGAGTTGAAAGAATTCTCTGATGGCACTAATATTGGCACACTACTAAAATTTCACACTTGTTTTCCATAGGAATAAACTCAATACTCAGTGTTACCATTTGGTAATAAAAAACACTCATTCAGCATTAAATTGTGGTACTTTCTTTTATATTGCCATGTGGCCTTAATCCCTCAGTCATCCAGGTAGACCATAGTGGTCCAGCTCAAGATAATGTTGAAGCTATTCAGAAAAGGTTAATTTTTGCCCTGTGATTGTGACTTTTTTAATATTGATACTACTAGTTTCAATAATAGTTTTACTATTGGTTAGTATCTGATTTTTGATACTTCTTGCAACCCTAGATAGCACTGAGTCAAGTTAAACTCCAGCGTAAAAGTGCATTTGCTTGGAAAGCTTGTTTGAGGGAACGATGCTCTCAAGCAAAGTAACCACCCCCATTTTTTGTTGTTGCAGGAAACAGTTGAATATGCCTTCCTCATCATTTTCACAATTGAGACCTTTCTGAAGATTATCGCGTATGGTTTGGTGATGCACCAAAACGCTTATGTGCGAAACGGCTGGAATATGCTGGACTTTGTCATCGTTGTCATTGGGTAAGTCGCTAATGTTTATCAACAGTAAAACAGTAAATTAAAAATTACACATGTTCAACACACAAAATTCTGTTCTTTGGTGTATGGAGTTTGTGGTTCAGTGGAAAAAGCATTGGCTCAGGGGTCTTGGTCTGTCCATTTCTTAGAAACGTATTTAATGTTTTGCTGACACCTGGGCCTCTGCCACTAGTACACTGGTTAAAGTAGTCTCAAGTGAATGTAGCTTAAGCCATCTTGGAGCAGCCGAGTGCTATTAAGAGAACCCCATAAAGCCACATTATATGACCCAGAAAGGACAGAATAAGTCCATCCCTGAAATGACTCACCATTTCCTCTGTACTTCATTTCTCTGTCTGTCTTTGCCTAACACTCCCCAGTCCAGCTCAGCTACAGCTTTGTTACTACTTCACTTTACCATCTCCTTGCATTTTGACTGCTCCTATATTAATCTTGTGCCTTTTGTGGCCCCTGCTCTAAATCCTATCTTGTCAAAACCTCATGTTATCTGTAGCATCATCAGTGCTACACTTGGACTATTCAGGCTCCTTCCCTCTCACAGTCCAGTGCGTAGCTGGGTCAGATCCCTGTCTGTATGCAGCATGTGGGCCTGATCTGCTGTGTAGTCACACGAAGAGTCAGCTTCTTCTGCTGCAGAGACTGGCTTTTGCTGCTAACTGGCTTCACTGTCTCGCCGTGCTGCTTCACTGTTGTGCCTCAGATCTTTTCCTCTGGAGGAATGATCTGCTAATGTTGCAGGACTTTTTTGTTTACCACTCAAGGGAATAATTATTATAATACACAAATGCCTAAGGCTATTTTAACTGCTGATTCAAATCCTCTAATGTAACTAAGATTTATTAGTGGATTTAACACTAAAGCACTGTAAGGAAAATGTTTATTTTCAAAAGCAAAAGCTTACTTTATCAGTTGACTGCAAGGCCACTACAGAATTCTTTGCTGACTAAAGACATGCCCTGTCCATTGACTTGTTGACTAAAAGAAGTTGATGGAACTCTCCACTCTCCCCTGTCTTTGGGTAATGAATAGAGCAAAAGTAAAATATTGTGGTGTAGCTTATTTTGAAATTAATTGTAATAGATTGTTGTTTTAAAAAGTACATAAGTTCTGTTTGTTTTTGTTCTTGATGCAGACTCTTCAGTGTTGCTCTGGAGATGCTGACCAAAGATGAAAAGGGAGAGAGTGAAGGCGAAGCCCACCACGCAACAATGCATGGTCACGGGGGCAAACCAGGAGGATTTGATGTTAAAGCCCTTCGAGCTTTCCGTGTGCTGCGACCACTGCGGCTTGTCTCAGGAGTACCCAGTGAGTATCTAAACATTGGTACATTCTGATCATTGTCTGATTTCTAGTGTTATTAGATTACTGAAATATCATGTAAACAGTTTTCTTATTTTGTTGTTTACATCTATGCCAATATTGACAAGGAAAATTATGCAAAGAAGGGCAAACTAATGTGGCAAAGACAAAAATTACAGAAAAATCTTAAAGATTGAAGAGTTCTTTAAAAGCTCATGTGCATATACAACAACAGCAAGTGTCCACTAATTAAATGACATGTCACCAGGTGTTCGGGAAGATCATATTTTTTTGTGTGCATGTAAACACACACTCAGAATCAGATGTAATCTGATTACTGTATTCTAATATTTTATTTTTACTACCCATGTAAATATGAGGGGTGTAAGAAAAAAAGTTAATTCAGTGATTCAGTGATTCAGCGATTCAGCGCGGTTCTTGTATTGATTAAAAATGCTTTTGCATAGATTTTTTAAAGTAATGTTTTTCATGAAAAATTAAGTTTCATTTGCTGTTCTCATGATTTTAAAATTAAATAAATTCTGTTTCATCCAATTTTGTTTTCATGTTTGTGTACAATATTATATCTAATTATTGTTAAATATTGATAAATCACAATATATCGTCCTTTGTTTTAGTATCAGGATATATCGTGATATAGTGAATTGTGACAGGCATATCGTGATATGTACCATATAGCAAAATTAATGGCAATGCACATACGTAGTAAATAACCACTGTCACACATGTGCCTTTTTCCTCAATCAAATGGACCGAAAACTTAAGTTATCCTCTTACCATATATCATAGTATCAATTAATAAAGTTTGTGATTAGTGTATAAAAATTTAGGCTAGGGCTAAGAAAATGTGGCTATTCTGTATTATTTTTTTAGTATACAGATTTCTCTCTTCTAACATTTGACCTTTGACCTCTCCAGGTTTACAGGTGGTGTTGAACTCTATTATTAAAGCCATGGTTCCTCTTCTGCACATCGCCCTGCTGGTCCTGTTTGTTATCATCATTTATGCTATTATTGGCCTGGAGCTTTTCATTGGCAAAATGCATGCAACCTGCTACTTTCCTGGCTCAGGTGATACATTTTTCTTCTTTTTTTTTTTTCTTTGTTGATTATGTTTTGTTATGGATTTTGGGAAACTGTAACTTAAATGTTCAGAATTGAGACAAAAATTATACAGAAAGCATGTAAGAAAATTATTGGAACTTAAAAATTTAAATTAAAATGAATCTATCTAGAGAGGGTCACTTTATACTGATCCTAAACCCGAATAATGTGTGTGACTACTGTATGTGTAAAGAAACTACTGTCTGTCTGAGGGTCTGTCGTACTTACATATATATAGTGACGAATTATTTTTGTTTAATATATCTTTATTTTTCAAATGTTGGAACTGTTATTTTAGATGTGATAGCTGAAGATGAACCTGCTCCATGTGCGATCTCTGGACACGGCCGCCAGTGCCCCATGAATGGCACTGAGTGTAGAGAAGGATGGCATGGTCCCAACAATGGCATCACCAACTTTGATAACTTCCTGTTTGCCATGTTAACGGTGTTCCAGTGCATCACTATGGAGGGCTGGACAGATGTGCTCTACTGGGTGAGAGCAGTGACCTTCTCTGTCTTTGCCTACTCAGATTAGATGTTTGTTTGATAATGATGATGATTGTTCCTTCTGCTGTCTTTTATCATTCTCACATGACAAATTAACTCATCGATTTGATGTATTCAACACTTTGGTAGCACAAAATCTGAAGAAAAAAGGAAAACACATGGTATAAGAAATATTGCAAAATTGTTAGGTAAAGCCAGGGATGGAACATTAAAAAACTACAGTTACTATGGAAATCTGTCAAGTTTAAATCAGTATTGCAAAACAATGAAAAACAAAAATTTAATTAAAGAACTTCTGGGTCGCTACTGTTAAATATATTTATCATTTTATCACTTTTAAATGAACGCAAAAGTTTCTAGTGAAGGTGTATGGAGTAAAAGCAGTGAAGCACTTCCTGTATCATCACCTGACATCACTAGGTGGAACCGAGCGTTTTCTGTTTGAAGGAAGAACTCTGAGAAGTCTAAATATGCAGGGTTTGTGTGTTAAACATGAGTGAATGAAACAAAACACATCTTCAGGTATGTTTTGTGATGATGAAATAACATTATAACATAGATCGGAAAATAGCATAACATTAAGGTAACTGAAAACTCTGATACTGTATGGCAACACAATGCCGAGCTCTATTAACAGATCATAATTCAGGACTAATACTTAAACAAATTGGACAATTATGATAAGATTGCTGTTAAATTAGCTGTCATTTTATGTAAACTACTGAAAGGGTTCATACCAATTTTTGTGTGTGTAGTGCAGCTTTAATCAAGGACCCATCTAATAATAATATGGCATGAGATTACTGTTGCATGTTGACTTTCTTGCATGTCTAAACGTAACCATATTTTATGTACCCCTTTATTTTCTGGCTTAAATCTGCTTTATTTACTGTTTGCTCTCTCTCCTTTCCTTCCTCCTTCCCTCCTTTCCTACTGCTCTGATGGTTCCTCAGATGAACGATGCTATGGGCTTTGAGCTTCCATGGGTGTACTTTGTCAGTCTTGTGATCTTCGGCTCGTTTTTCGTTCTTAACCTGGTTTTGGGTGTTTTGAGCGGGTAAGCACTTTCCTCCTGACTGCTTTTCAATGCCTGTGTATTTTGACTGGATGTTTTGGTCCCTGTAGGTGAACGATGCCATTGGCTGGGAAACCCCTTGGATTTACTTTGTTAGCCTCATTATTCTGGGCTCCTTTTTTGTGCTAAACCTTGTGTTGGGTGTACTCAGTGGGTAAGGCAAAAGTGTGGAGTGTTACTTGCGGTGATTATGCTTTTTCTTGATCACTTTAGGCAGTTTGAGTAAATACTTAGTATACAGACATTAGTCAGTATATTAATATATATAAAGACACTTTACACTATTCATTCTTTCCACACCAATCACTCACTCACACTCACACACTACTTTCATACTATGGTACAAAATGGATGAAGTGTCTTGCCCAAGAACACAACAATAGTATAAAGTAGGTTCAAGCAGGAATTGATTGTCCTTGGGATTGATGGACAAAAGTCACTGTTGCCACATTTTATTACTCTTTGGCAATTTTGAGTAGCCTCTATAAAAAGTACCAATTTATTGTTCCCATTCATCTTTCTTACACCTGACAAAATACCTTAAACTTTCATATCATCATAAGAAATAAGTTGAGTTATTATCTTTTTCATCCCCTTAGCTATAAATGACTAGCCACCCAGTATGGAGAGAGATGGATTTTGTGTAGGTTTTACAGTGAATGCTTCCTGCCACAGTCTTCTTTGGACTTATGATCTATTATAGATATACTTCTGACATAGTTAATTTAAGCTATTCAAAAAGATCAACAGAAATTGAGTCACTCTTTTGCTTTTAACTACAGAGACATAAACGCACTGCAGTGAGCATTTCTACCCTCATGTGTCCCGATCCCAGCCAACCTCCTGAGAGAGAAATTAATCTTATTCCTCGCCCTTCACTCCCTTTGCAGCACTAAGCTCTCAGCACCACAGTTTTCCAGTTTCCCAGCTAATTTTAGTGGGGGTTGGGCAAAAATAGTTTGAAAATAAACTTTAGAGAGTTTATCTGTGTAGGCGTGCACTAAAATATATTATTATACCAATATTATTAAAGTGTTAGGGACTGAGATATTAATTGCTGTTACACAGGGTTTGTTTGTATCTATTCAACTTAATTTCTCAAAGGTTATTTTTTTAATTCCTTCCTATAGAGTATATCAGACACATAGTTCAGTTACAATTTTCCCCAAATCTGTGTAAACTAATATATTTGGTCATTGGCAACATGCTATATTGAGCTCCAGTTTGTATTTATGTTGTTTCCGTGCAAATGTGTATTTCTCTCAAAACCATCTGTCTACCTACATTGGCTTCTCGTGATGATTAAAATTCAGGCCTGAAGGAAATTCTACTGTACTGGACTAAAAATAGGACTGTCTTCTTCTGGTTTGCATCTCCCTCCAGTGGCAAATAACCCTTAAAACGGAATTGACATTTAGACCAGATAATCTAAATTTAATCTAAAATATAAGGTGTTATAATATGAGAAAATGTACACTTTTACATTTTCAATGATAGAGATAGATTTGAGATTTAGATTTCATTTTACTCATATCATCAAGTATAAGACTGAATCCAACACTTGAATTTCAGGTTGAATTTCAGGTGAAAATGAAATCAAGAACATGTATTTGCTTCTATAAGGTTATGTTTATACTAGTACTTTTGTCCTTGTTTGAGGCCAGTTTCAGTGTGATAGTTTGGTGTTGTCCTGGTTTAACCCTGGTCTAGTCTAGGTTACAGGTTTATTCCCAGTTCAGTCCACATTTTAATATGATGTTTGTGCAAGTGTAAATGCATCCTTATTTTCTTGTGCATGTGATTATAATTGTGTATTTGTTTTATCACGCACTTATTCACTTTTTGATTGTTTGTGTACATTTAAACACCCAGAGAATTTTCCAAGGAGAGAGAGAAAGCCAAAGCTCGTGGAGACTTCCAGAAGCTGCGTGAGAAGCAGCAGCTGGAGGAGGACCTGAAGGGCTACCTGGACTGGATCACTCAGGCCGAGGACATTGACCCGGACAACGAAGACGAGGCGGACGAGGACAGCAAACGAAACCGTAAGACCCCTGTGTCCGCTCTGTCCACTGCGTTGCCATGGATATGTAACATGTGCTGCTGTATGACATTGCTGCTACACTGAATGCATCTTTAAACTGGTTGTTTTTTCATAGTATATCATATCTTTAGCCAAGATTGTAGAACTCTGGAAAAATATGTTGCAGTTCTCTGTATATTATGATATTGCTTTTATTTTTACAATTACTTGCTAAAATACTTGCTCAATATTCACAGATATATAATATTGACTATGTGAGTAGAACTGCATGGCATTGAACCAGTTGGATTTCAGAGATTTATGGGCAGTTATATGAAACAGTAAATGACCAACAGAATGACTTCCAGCCATGCCAGCATTATTATACCTACTATTCTTACTACAATGTTAATGCTATTACTATGTTATTACATTTTTATAGTCTACAGATAATAATTACTAGGTCTAAACTTTATTATTTCATCACTTTTTATGTAGATAAAAATAGTGATATCATCATGTGATTACAACTGTGAGGCAGGGGACCTATTATGGGTTTCGGTTCCTGTTTATAGGACTTTTGACTGTGCAAAGGATAGTGACCATGTAATTAGAAGTGCAAGAAAGAGGTCCTATAGGATACTAATGATTTATGGATCCATTTAAAAAGGCCATATAGTATGAGAGGCGATCTAGCGGAGAGTGCAACTGCAGGTAGATGACTCATTGCATCTCAGTAAATCACTACAGTAATGCATATCACAATATACTGCATGTAACCCTTTATAAAATCAACTGTATATGCCATATTTAAGGTGCCATTTGGTATTCTTACCCAATGTATGTCACTAAAGTAGAGCAAGGAGTGAATCCCAGGAGTTTATCTGAGATGGGGAAAAGGGAGAAAAGACGTGTTATTTGAGCGCTAGTCTTAATCCAAATCCTCTTTATAGAAGCAGCGCTCACGACGCCAGGGCAGCAGCAGCTACACCTCAGTGACAGGAGTTTAGCCTCTGCTGTATCACTTATGAGAAGTAGCTAACCAAATATAAGAACATGCACATTACTAGACCATGTCATTTGTTTTATTGTTCTGTGTGATTTTTATGCTTTCTCCAACACCCATCCCAGCTTCGGTGCTTGCTGTTGGCACATGAGCCTCTACCACTAGGGCTGCACAATTTATCGCATAGCCTAATTTGAGTTCGCACAATTTTCAAAATCTCAAAGGCGGCAATTTATATAATAGAAAGTCCCCTGTAAAGAACAAAATATCACTTTTAATAGAAAGTATTTTGTACCACAGTAGACCTCTATAAGCATATTCATTCACTTGCAGCAATTTAGTTGTTCACATTTCAGTCTTCTCATGGAGGTGTTTACATTTTGCACTCTGAACTGAACCCTGCTGGCAAACATATATTACAAATTTAGTCACAATATTTTACTAGAACATATATGTACTTTCCCCAAAATCATACAGCCCTATCTACCACTATGTCAAAAATGCACAGGACCATGTTAGCAGAGGCCAAGTCACCCACAAGCACTGTCCATGTGGCTCCCCTACCCCTACCTTGATGTCTGCAGTCTCCCCTGGCTCCCCGAATATCTGTCTAATAATAATATGTTGAATACTGTATGTAAAGTATACTGTTGTTGTCCTGTGGTGCCTGTTGCTCTGACACATTTTGATTGCCGTCCATTCTCGCCCCCCACGCGCCTCCGCTGTGCCGTTGTGTGTGAATGCATGGGCTTGCATGCATTAACATGAAGGGGTGACTCTGGCTGACCTCACCGAGAAGAAGAAAGGAAGGTTTGGGTGGTTCAGCCAGTCGTCCGACACTCATGGTAAATCCTGGAGTTTCCCTCAAGTGTCTACTACTCTGTGTCTCTACTGTGTCTCTGTTTATGTCTTTGTTACAGACTCTGTCTAAAATATAGTGGTTATTATTGATAGGAATTCATAAACACTACTAACTTCTGAATTCCATTATACTGTATAATGACAATAAAGGCCTTCTATTCTGTTCTAACAGAATAATGGTGTAAAGCAGTAACATTGCCTTATATTGTACATACTAGTTTGTGCCAGTCCTAAACCTGAACAACTAGAAATGAAACAAGAAGGCACATTGCAACATTTATACATGTCATGTAAATCATATAGTATTCCTTTAGCCTTAATAAATCAGAAGTGCAAGCATCATTAAAACTGGTATCTGGTAACTGAGGTGACAGGTCAAAGCGAAAAGCTATTCTAAAGTACTTGTGTTTATTAGATAAAACATGTTGAATTATTAAAACTAAGTCGTGTACAAGTGCTCTACAAGGATGCGAGAAATAAAGTATTTAAAAAGGCAAATAAGGTATTTTAAAAAAAACACCTTGATGTGCCAGTTGTTATGAAAGGTATAGCAGAAAAAAATCCATGGCACTCTGTAATGTGAAAAGGCCTTTATTACAACACGGACAGCCAACATGTTTTGACACTAGCATGTCTTCATCAGGGCAACTGAGAGGAACTGTGTTAAAATTGATAATGCATAGGCTACATAATGAAATAGCCATAATATAGTATATTCAAGAATATTGCTTCAGGTATTACTGTTAACTGATATTGTTATCGTATTTGGTAAGCAGTATCAGTGCTTTATTTTATATCCAGCTGTCTTTTACATTACCCCTTATAGTTCTATATATGTGTTGTGATCCTTAAACTTGTTTATCTGTCAAACCAACTGAATTAGTAGATGTGTTTGATTGCACCTGCACCTTGTTCCACCTTGTACCCCATTTTAAAAAGCCCATAGCTTAGTGTGAATATAGGAATCCAGGCTAAACCCAGATCACTACTTGAGCTGTCAGCACGATACACTGAGTGCTGTCAGGCGACTTGCGAATCAAAGTCAGTACAGAAGCACAGAGCTGCCTAATACGAGTCGTAGCACCGGGACATTTGAGACAGACAGGACAGGAGGAGCGTTTGAAAGACTGCCCCACTTTCTCACATGCACACACTGTCCGCTATCCTGTCCACTGTCAACTCCCCTTCTCCCTTGGGCACATCACAGAATAGTCTTTTTAACGTTTACGTTCAGATGCCTCCTTCGCTGCCTGAATTTTAGCTTCATAATCCAGTTATATAAAGGCATTTTTTTTTTTTTTGTCAGTCCTAAGACCACTAGATTGACAGTTATGTGTTTGTAACAATATTTGTTTTAAATTAAAATACTAAATCTATATCTCAGTCTGTATACTCATAACAAGCTCAGTATTTGCTTTGTGTTCCTTGAAAGAAAAGGCTTTAACATAAGGACTACAATTTGCATTTATTAAAATAAATATCTGACAAAAAATTCTTCTAAATGTGTACCTATTCTAGGCACTTAACCTTTGCCTCATGAGTCTGTATATTACTGTGTATCTGTGCTAACTCACACTCTGTGTTGTGCTGCTGCAGCGAGTGTCCCTGCCAGTGAAACAGAGTCTGTGAACACAGAGAATCAAACGGAGGATGAGAAGACACCATGTTGTGGACCTCTGTGGTAAGCACAAACACAATTGATTTGAATAATGCAAATCGCCGTTACCGCCGTTATGTGCCTGAGTTAACTTTTTCTTTTCTTTGTTTAAATTGTTTGTTGATAATTTGCACTAATATGTACTTTTATACCCTCTCTTACACTTTCTGCAACCATTTGGATTCCTCAACTTTGACTTTCTTTCTGTCAGTCAAAAAATTTCAAAGTCAAAGTTCAGGTCAGTAAACTGTGTCAAAGTCTTTGCATGTGACATTGTGTTATTGCAGACCCTGTTTTAGTTAATACACTTTTATATCTGTTTGTGTTGTATTGTATTTTAATGAGCCAGAGTAAGGGTGATGAATCAGCATCTTTTATAAAGTCAGCATGTACCTTCTGTATTTATAGAGCAGAGCCCTGTGCAGGATCTTTGTGTTCATTTAGTGGGACTTGCTAAAATATGTATTGACGCAATGTTCCACTTGTCCCCTCTGTAAAGTTTTACAAATAAAACAGTGTATAGTGTTATATTGTTATGTCCTTGTACATTGCAGTCGGCGTTGGCGCCGGTGGAACAGATTTTGCCGCAGGAAGTGCCGGTTGGCTGTCAAATCGGTGCCTTTCTATTGGCTGGTCATCATCCTGGTGTTTCTGAACACTCTCACCATATCTTCTGAGCATTACAACCAGCCGATGTGGCTCACACAAGTGCAGGGTAACATAACATCACATGTTTGTTTGTCTGCTGTCTGGAAATGTGTTCTTCATTTGGGTGGTGTGTTCTTTTAGATGTGGCCAACAAGGTGCTGCTGGCTCTTTTCACATGTGAGATGTTGGTGAAGATGTATAGTCTTGGTCTCCAGGCCTATTTTGTTTCCCTGTTCAACCGTTTTGACTGCTTCGTGGTGTGTGGAGGGATCACAGAGACCATCCTGGTGGAGTTTGAGATCATGTCTCCTTTGGGCATCTCTGTGTTTCGATGTGTGCGTCTGCTGAGGATCTTTAAAGTCACCCGGTGAGAGTGGACTCCATCTCACTTGTGTCCAGTGTCTGATGTTTTATTAACATGCTCTGTTTCCCTCTCAGACACTGGCAGTCGCTCAGTAACCTTGTGGCCTCACTGCTTAACTCCATGAAATCTATTGCTTCCCTGCTGCTGCTGCTCTTCCTCTTCATCATCATCTTCTCACTGCTGGGCATGCAGGTGTTTGGGGGGAAATTCAACTTCGACGAAACACAGACCAAAAGAAGCACTTTCGATAACTTCCCCCAGGCCCTGCTCACTGTGTTTCAGGTATAACTGTGCAACAGAAAATCAGTTTACATTTATAGAAAACAGTGATGTAAAGATTTTAACGATGCCCTGTCCTAAAAGAGTAAATATTGTGCTGTGTTCAGATTCTGACTGGAGAAGACTGGAACGCTGTCATGTATGATGGGATCATGGCCTATGGGGGACCTTCTTCTTCGGGGATGATTGTCTGCTTTTACTTCATCATCCTCTTCATCTGTGGAAACTGTATCCTCAAAAATTTACTCAGAAATCAGATCAGCAACACAGTACAGTCCTTATGTATTAAATAGCATTAGCATGTAAAATTTATAATAAAGTATAAGAATAATAAAATGAGTAAAAATGAATAATAATTATTATGCATTTTACTGTACAGCAATTTAAATACAAAATACAATAAAACTGTAATCATTAATTAGAGAAGAAAATGCGGCATATATATTCACAGTATCTGGTAAGTGATATTTAACAGTATGGGAGAATCTTATCCTGTTGATTGTCCTTAGTCCATTGCCTTTATAAGATATCCTCCTGAATGTCTTCTTGGCTATCGCTGTGGACAACTTGGCTGATGCAGAATCTCTCAACACTGACGGTGGGGACACAAAAGGGTAAGACAACTTTTACGTTATTTTGAGATAATGTTGTCCGGATACCGAAATTTCACACATTTGATACCATAATGATAATTTTTAAAAAGACTATTTTTTTTAAAACAAATGATATATTTATGTGGTCTGGTACTACAGTGCCCCTTACAGGTTCCCAACAGCATTGAAGGATGGGTCAAATGTGGGACTATGATGTGTACCTTAAACATAGCTAATTCAAATATAGATCAGGAATAAATGTTGTCTTTTTTTTTCAGTATTGGGGCCTGATCAAATTAATATGTACTTTCTAGTTGTAGTATCAATCAGTGTCTGGGTATCCTATGGCAACCATAGATTCAGTGCAGATCTCCTTAGTCTGTATTTTCTGTATGTCTAAAGGGACAAAGGTGATGATGCCAGAGATGACCTGGGGGATGAGGAGGACAATGACGACACAGCAGGCGAGGAGGAGGACCCTGAGGTTCCATCTGGACCCCGACCCGCCATCTCTGAACTGGTCAAAAAGGAGAAGATTACACCCATACCCGAGGGAAGTGCCTTCTTCATATTCAGCAACACCAACCCGTAAGCACATCACTAAAAGACTGTAATAGGATATATACATGGAATATGTTTCAGATTGTGTTGTTTTCTTGTTGTTGCAGTGTCCGTGTATTCTGCCATCGCCTCATAAACCATCACATCTTCACTAACCTCATCCTGGTATTCATCATGCTGAGCTCAGTGTCCCTAGCCGCTGAGGACCCGATAAGAAACTGCTCTGCTCGCAATATTGTAAGTATAATTAGTACATACCATTTGAACATGTCTTTAAGAACTTAATTTTTTCAGAAGTAGTCCACAATACAGTAGTAGACAGTCATATTTCTATTTATCTTTTGCTGTTCTACACTGTCTTATTATGTTGTGAACAGAATACACTAATTGTGAAATTTGGACAACTTTAGATCTCTTTATTTACTTGCGTTTATAGGGATTTATGAGTTTATAAATTAAATCTACACCCAAGAATAACCATATGAGTATAATAGAATTTTGTTGTTAATATGTGTTTGTAACAAGTTGGTTGTTTTGCAAACTCGTGGACAATCAGGTAACTGGAAAATGTTAAATAACCATATCTACGTAAGTAGTAGTATTGATTGTGTAATGCCAAAGAGTTGACCAACTGTTGCATTTAGCTAGTTCCTTAAGTAATCATTTCTTTTTGCAGGCCCAGTGTGTTTGGCTGAATAACCTCCCCTCTCACATTTTACAGGAAATACTTTGTGATGCCTTTCTCCTCTTTTCTTCTTCCTTTTCAACCTTGCGCTAAATGTCCTGCTTTGTTAAACATGTTGCTCTTTGCAGATACTTGGTTACTTTGACTATGCTTTCACGGCTATCTTTACTGTTGAGATCGTGTTGAAGGTAATTGTGTGTCTCCCGTCTGTGCTGTCACTTCCCACACCCAGTAACACTGCAAACGTCTTGTGCCTCCTTCCAGGTCCTAGGCTATGCAGATTATGTCTTCACTAGTATGTTTACATTTGAGATCGTATTGAAGGTAACCCCATAGAGTTACAATGAGAGCCTTGCATTCTTCTCCCTGTGTGTCACCTGCCACTCAACAAACCTGGCTTGTTTGTTTCCTTGCTCTGATTTACTTCTCTCTGAGGCACCTCTTTTACAAAACAAAATTAAAAAATATAAATTTTCATAATGCATTTTTAAAATCATACTTAAGGCGAGAAACTATAGGTGGAAAGATCATGACTTCTACAATTAAGTAATGCTAACACAAACATCAAATACCAAGGAAATCATACTTGTGTAAGACAATATATACATTTACTGTATGTATCATTTTACCAGTGACTACTGGTTATTAGTAGGTTATTATTAGTTATTCATTTTCTAAATCAGAGAATGACCTTTTTAAATAATTCTATATTTTATTTTTTTTTAAATGTATGTAGAGATAAATTCAAGAGGGAACGTTTTTTTATTAAAAAAAAAAAAAGCTGACATATCCTCTGTAGTGTCTCGCCTTAAAATAAAATATTTATATTATTCCAATAAAAGAAAAAAATGGGGGAAGGAAACTTGGCATTAACATTACATTAAACACATGCACTTGAATGCTACATCATTAGGAAGGTCATGGCTATGATGACTTAAGTGATATGAGAATTTTAATGCAACCCTTGCGTGCCATAGATAGAACCAGGCTATTACGACAAAAGCTATCTCATGCCTCTCACACTGACTGCCTTTATAATAACCATAAAAGAGGGGGCAATTCAATCATGTTCATTCTGAGCATGGTTTGGTCTGCTTTCTCCAAACGGAGTGCATAGAAATGTGGAGCTGTGGCTGCAGCTGTTTGCATAAAAATCTGTCCAGACTAATGCTGTCTGACTTTAAATTACAATACATCAGTAACCAGTCAGGCGTGACATTATAGCTGCTGCATGTATGGTGATCTTAATAATATCTTATCACACTTTTCATGGCATCAGTTTCTCAAACTTGTTCAAGTTCTTTCACTTCCCATTCCTACTTCTAAAATTCAGTGTACATTGTTTCATTGATTCAGCAATAGTCTCTTCACCTGGCAGTGGTCTTAATGTTATGGCTGATCAGTGTATCTGCATGGCTCCATATTTCTACACACTCGGAGGATAGTTTTCTTTTCTTTTATGATTGCAAGGACTGATCTTAGCTAGATTTTATTTCTCTGCCTGCTGAAATTTTCACCAGGGGCTGTAGTCCCTATAGACTTTTAAAGAACATAATAAAATGTACTTTAAGGCAACGGTCCAACATGAATGTGACAGTAAGGGCATTTGAGTTTTCCAATCACTATAAAGAAAAGCAGAGAGTAAGTAACACTGGCAACAAAATGCATGTTTTATTGCCACATCCCATAGTGGATTGTGAAATGAATGACTTACTACTACATTCATGTGGCTAGGGGCCGTGGGGGTGGTGAGGATAGAGTTAGCCTCCTTTTCACTGCTTTTGAGATTGCCACCCCAAACCAGAGTGCTCTACTGAGTGTAAAGAGTGCGAGTGTGTGGAAGAAGTTTATCTTAGAGAAAATATTAATCCGTTGATACTGGACAATATGTTAAGACTGAGATTAGACATGTTAGGTTTTTTTTGACATGCTATAGTTAGATTATGTGTTGTTTGTGCAACTGTTCTTTATTATGTCTTTCTATAACATGGCTGTTCTCCTCAGATGACCACATATGGGGCTTTTCTTCATAAAGGAGCATTCTGCAGAAATTATTTCAACCTCCTCGACCTGTTGGTGGTGGGCGTGTCTCTTGTGTCCTTCGGCATTCAGTGAGTCAATATACTGGTGCAGGAAGTGTATGGGATTATAGTAAACTGATGTTGTATTCCTCCTAATAGCTAATTTACGTTGGACTCATACTGTTATCAAACACATTTAGGTGGTTGCTCTTTGTAAAAGTGCGGATGGTTAATATTAAATGTTCAGCACATTTTCACAAGATCTGACGGAGCATCTTGACTGCCATCTGGTGGCTAACCTCAAAGAATAAAGTGGATGTCCTATCTGAAATAAAACTATGCATATGTGTGACATTATAGGCTAATAGCTAATAAGATTTTTTTTTTTTAACCTTACACTTTAAAGTGATTTGTTTTCAGGTCTTCCGCCATTTCTGTCGTGAAGATTCTGAGAGTGCTTCGAGTCCTGAGGCCCCTGAGGGCTATCAACCGAGCCAAAGGTTTAAAGGTGCATCCCATTCCTTCTTATTTAACTTATAGATGTTAAACTTATAACTGTTTATTAATTACATACTCGTTCTGCAGCATGTCGTGCAGTGTGTGTTCGTGGCCATTCGAACCATCGGAAACATCATGATTGTCACCACTTTACTTCAGTTTATGTTTGCCTGCATTGGTGTTCAACTTTTCAAGGTTAGTAATGTAAAGTAGTTGTGAGAACTGAAATTTGTCTTTGAAATTATAATTATTTCATCATTATTATTTGCCTTTAGGGAAAGTTTTATCGCTGCTCAGATGAAGCTAAGTCTGTCCCAGAAGAGTGCAAGTGAGTTTCCTAATCCCTCAGTTTGTGTACTTTAATTCCCATGACAATGTTAAGATGTATATGAAGTAACTAGCTAACTAACCAACTGAAATGTACTTTATGGTTGCAGAGGCACCTACATCGTATACAAGGATGGAGATGTGAACCAGCCCAGTGTAAACAGACGCGTGTGGCACAACAGTGACTTTAACTTTGATAACGTCCTGATGGCCATGATGGCTCTATTCACTGTGTCCACCTTTGAAGGCTGGCCTGCGTAAGACAAAAACCTATGGCTCTATATATTTCATAGGTCTAGTCACTATCAGTCTATTTGAGCTTGTCTGTGTATTTTCTCAGGTTGTTGTACAAAGCTATTGATTCCAATCGGGAGAACATGGGTCCAATTTACAACTATCGTGTAGAGATCTCCATCTTCTTCATCATCTACATCATTATTATCGCCTTCTTCATGATGAACATCTTTGTGGGTTTTGTCATCGTCACGTTTCAGGAGCAAGGAGAGAAAGAATACAAAAACTGTGAACTCGACAAGAACCAGGTTAGACCATTGACTGTTGAGTTTAAACTGTAATGTGACTATTTTGTTATTTAAAATCATGACCTCCACTCCATTACTTACATTTGAAAAAACGTATTAATATTTAGAAGAATATGTACCTTTGCGGTCTTAACATCCTTTTGGAAAACTAAATGTTACTTTCGCTATTTTGAAAGAATCAACTCAAGTAAAACCATATTTTCCACCTTTGCGGCAAAGTGGGTGGCTGTCTCAAGTAACAACCCAAAGGTCTTGTCAATGTTTGGGTGCAGTTCTAGTGATAGTAGAAGTAGTGGTAGTGATGTAGCATTAGTTGTAGAGGCAGTAGTAGAAGTAGGTAGAGGAGAAGTGCCAGTAACAGTAGTAGTGGTTGCTGCTTATAAAAGTAGGTGGTGTGTGCATGGCAATACAATAATCAGCTTCAAAATTTTACTGTATCATACTTTTGGGTTTACTTATGAGAAGGTAATATTTTTCTTGACTATTTTAAGAGTAACATGATATAACATTTTAGCACTTCTTCCTTCTTCTATTAATTTCTCTATCATTAAAAAATACCAGAGACCAGTGAGACCCTTTTCACCTTGACTGTTTTTGTCTGTCTGTGCAGCGTCAGTGTGTGGAGTATGCCCTGAAAGCCCGACCATTGAGGAGATATATCCCCAAAAACCCATACCAGTACAAGTTCTGGTACGTGGTCAACTCCACAGGGTTTGAGTACATCATGTTTGTACTCATTATGCTCAACACACTCTGTCTGGCTGTACAGGTGGGTCTCTACAGCTTATTATTTTTAGTTTGTTTCACATTTATTCAAATTTGTTTATTTTTTATGTTTTTATTGTAGCATTATGGCCAATCAGCACTTTTTAACTATGTCATGGACATCCTTAACATGGTTTTTACTGCTGTCTTCACTGTTGAAATGGTTCTTAAACTGATTGCTTTCAAGCCCAGGGTAAGTCAATGTGATGTATTTTATTCTTATGTTTAATATCAATATTGTGTTCATCGTGCTGTGCAATGGCTCAAATCATATTGGGGTGCATTAGAAAAAAGAGCAGGGAACATAAAAGCAGGAAGAACTGTAAGCATGGTTTGAGGATTGATTTAGACCAAAATTGACCATTTTGCTGCTGGAAATATTGTCCAATATTGTCTTTTATTGATTTTTTTTTAAAGGTGCTTTCAAACTTTTGTGGTTGAGAGTCTGGCACCTATCTGTTCCCATGAAGAGGTTATTGCTTTGTCTGGAATGTTCCACATTAGTATTTATTTAAGGACAGGTGTGGCTCAAAATATCTTAAAATACATGCATGAAGCCATACTGTGGAACATTCTGAGGAACACAATCAAATCTGCATTGAAAGAAGCCGTTGGTGAACCTTCTACCAGAAAGATTTCATAGTCCGTTTAAACTAAATTTAGGATTATTCTGTTATCATAAGGAAAATTGGTTACAACATTTGCACAGTACTTTACAGATTTCCAGTTATTTCCATGAACAAAAAATGAGTCTTCCCTCTTGATGCCAACAGCTCTTTGTTCCAAAGAAGGACAGGATGCTTGTAAGAGACAGAGTGGGGTGCAGAGTTGCAGTGTTTTTGCATGTCTTCAAATCTTTACTTTGTTTGGCTCTGGTTAAATCTTTGCACTTCAACTTCAGAGCACTGTAATCATGTACTCTCTTTGCTGAAGGAGCTGTTGTAGTTTTAAGTATCTACAAGTGTGCATTTCAATTTGAATATTAAAAGAAACCTTGCTATTTGCCCACCACTTACTCAACATCGCTCAGGGCTATTTCGGAGATGCCTGGAATGTTTTCGACGCGCTGGTTGTGATTGGCAGCATAGTAGACATTGTTCTCAGTGAAATTGATGTAAGTAAATACTCGTTTATATTCGGCTCTTGGCTCTCTGACCTCACCCTGCTCTGGACTGTCTAAAGGGCTTAAGGATCTGTAGCTTCTGTTTGCTAATTTTCTCTTTTGCTAACTCGCTAATGCCAATTTTCTCCCCTTCATTTCATTCAACCCCTTATCTGTCTTTATCTTCATTTCCCCAACTCCCTTTTTCCTCCTTTGGCACCCCTCATGTTACACCACACTTAAACAGCACTATTTTGCTGATGCTTGGAACACATTCGATGCCTTAATTGTAGTCGGTAGCGTCGTCGATATTGCTATTACAGAGGTCAATGTAAGTATTTGATTTTCATGGTTTTCTCGTTGAACAGAAGCCTTTCATGTAAGCCAGTGTAGCCTACTGATTATACTGATATATACTTTCTTTATGTGTATGTGTTATTGCTATAAAAACAAATTTTGCTGCATGACAATAAATATATTTTCCATTGGCTTACTATGTAAAGCTTCAGTTTGACATAAATGATATCTTGGGGTCTTTGCTCCTCTCTTTTAGTCTCAATGTGTTAATTTTGTCTTTCAACAAAATGAAATGTATTATTAAAATGTTTTTGTAATAATTTCTTTGAGGAAGGCAGAGTGCTGCAGATGCTTATTTTTATCATGGTCTAATATACAATATTGTTTATTCTTATTTCCATAGAAACTTGTAGAGGCAAGTATGGCAAAGAACTAACATGTTGTGATGTGTGCCCTTCTGTTGACAACAACTTTATCTTTAGGACCCCTTTAATGTAGAAATGGATAAAAAAATTTTATTCTTTCACGTAATTGCCCATAACGGAAAGAGTAACATACACCTTAAATGTAGTAGAGACAAAATTAAAGACTTTAAACCCAAAGTCATACACTCTCCTGGGTGTTTCATCTCCTGCTCCAGTGTCTGAGCTGCAGTGCTGTTTTCTGGACCTCTTCATGATTTTATTCTTTCTCTGTTTAAATTGTGTCTGCATGAATTTACACTAACTACATCTTGCACTCTTTTTGAGTTTGTAGGTAATCTGTTGTCAATGTTGTGTGTTTTATCTACATATACTGCCTCATATTACACTGTATTTATCAGTTTTTTGTTGTACAGTATTGTGTGCATGTTGTTCTTACTGAAACATGCTCTTTGCTTTGATCAGTCCATATTCTATTGCATTGCATGTGGGTGTTGTAAATTTGTCTCAATAACTGTATCACACTTATTTCACATAATGTGTGATCCAATCCAGTTTGACTGTTGCCTGTTTACATTAATAGAATAGAGGAAATACACGATACAGTAATAGTAGCTTGCTTGCATGTATCCTCCACAATGCATGCTGGTCCATCCCCTAACATAGCCTCATGTCTGCCCCTCACAGATGGCGCTTGGTCACCCGCTTCATGCCCCTCCGGTCAGTCATGTCCACTGTGCTCTGTGAAGCCTGCTCTTTCTCCTCACCTTTGACCTTTACCTCTTTACCTCCAGACACAATGGCCCTGGAGCTCAGAGCTCAGATGTTGCAGTTATTCCTAAATTATTATTATTGTTCATTCAAAACACATTGATACATGTCATGATACATGATAGAATCTGCAGAATCTATACATTGTGATCTGAGAAAAAGTACTGCCATAGTAATTACCTGTCAGTCAAGATAAGGTTCACTGAAAAACATGCAAAACCTCTGATTGACATGCGGTTAAAGTGATTTTCCTTTATTTTACCTTGCATAAATGGGTAATACAGGGTTAAACTCTTGAATGATGTCAGGAACATAATAATCAGTGTAAATAGACTGAAAATGTTTTTGAGGAAAGGTTTACTGAGGCCGCCAGGTTGTGTGCTGATCTTGTCTCTGTGAGTGATGTGTGTTCTGTTTGTCTTCTTGTAGTGAGCTCTTAAAGCTCAAAAGGAGCTCATTGTAGCGCAGGTGTGTAGTCATAGGCAGCTGCATGAACCTGTTTGCACTCCTCTCTTTCCAAACGATCCTCCAGTTGAGTTAAATGGGACTCTGGCTCCCCCTTCTCTTTCCTCTGTTTGTAATTGGGAGAGGCCCTGCTGCAGCTTTCGTTGCAGGGCATGACTGGCATGCATGAGTTGCTCTAATGCTATAACTCCACCAATGGCTCCTCGTCATTTCTTGCATATGCAGCACCTCCCAGCAGCATTTCTAAACAACGCATGTTTTGTCAGTGCTTTGGCCAAGAATACCTAAAGAACTTCTCCAGCTAATTTTACTACATAATCTCCATATTATTTTGATAATTCATGAATGTGGGAATCTAATAGAAAATCTCTCTGGAGTAGCTTGTTCGCTTTGGTACATTTTTTTACCTACAGTTTATGGTTTTGAATTTTACTGTGAGTAGCATGTTTTAAATGGGACTCCATGGAGTCTGTGACTGGTTAAAATCAAATAAAAGAAGACATTTTTAGTCATAACATCATACATATTACTTTCATTACATTGTATCTGTATAGCACCAAACATACATTATTATCCATGTTGTCCACATTACATTGGGGCAGTGATAAAGTTGTCGTGTTGTCAGTCAAGCTGTAAACCTGTAGTAAATTGTCTTGAAAGTATTACATACATAGTAATACATACAAATAATAAGATAAGGTGTAATAATAATTAGTGATAATATAAATAAACTGTAAATGTCTGTCCATGTCATAGTGCAAATTAAGAAACATTTTGCTGTAAATTGAGCTGTAATGAGTTTGTTTTGTCTCTGTCTGAACTTACTACCCAAGAAAACCCCACTAACATTACTGTAAGCCCTTTGTCCTATATGGGCTGTGAGTAAAGTCATTAATCGAGTCTTTGATTTTAAAGCCGACGGAGACTCCTCAGGTGGATGAGATGGGGGTAAGATGTCTAGCCCCCTGTTAGGGCAATGCCATTTTAGATCTTTGTTTTCTTTTTGGTTCTATTCCCCTGTTTGTATCATTTGAACTTTTTACTAACATTTTCATGACAAGTTTTCCATTTTCTTTCGTTGCCCACCTGTTTGAATTTCTTTTACTTTTGGTTTCCTTTTCTATATTTGCGGTTATTTCTAAGAACAGTGTGTCACTCAAACGTGACGCGGTGTCCCGTAAGGTTAGGGGAGTGCTGGGACGCTCCTCACGTTTGTTTTGTCGACACTAAAAACATGGTCTCTGCCTCTATCCCTGAGTGGGGCAGTTACACATGGGTGGGCCCTGCGTTTGGGTCTGGGTGGGTCCCTGTGACTCCGCATGCAGTGACTCTGGACTGAGGGGCCATGCTTGTGCAGATATGCCCTGTCAAATATGGCAACATTTTTCCAGCATGCCTGCCTCCTTGCTTCCTCCCCTTTAGGTACAGTGAGCCCTGACAATGCAATCGATGGACAATAGAAACATATTAGCTTCTTCCAGACAGTTTCACACTGCCAAGGAATATCTGGCATTGGTTAAAATTTTTGGAATTCAAAAAATTAATCTGGAGTTGGATTATAATTAATTGGGTTCTATATCTTTATTTATGGTCTGTCCTATGTTATTTAACTTGCTTCATGGCAATTCTCGATGGTTTAGTTACTAGTGGTATTTTATTAACCCATAGGCAAGTACATCTAAAATGAATGCTCGAAATAAGAAGTAATGATTAGAGATTAATATTCTAAATTCAAATAATAATTTTAACAACACTAGATGAGATTGCATAGTGTACTCAATATATTCTTTAATAAATTTGCAGCAAAGTGCAGAAAATTCCATATTAAAACTGTGGAGCTTGATCAGCCCATATGTTTCTACAGTCTTCGGGCCCTCCATCTGAGAGCACAGTCAGGTTCTCTTGGTAAAGCTGTGCATGTGGTTAAGTCTTGTCTTACTCTGCTCTGGTCTCTCACAGAACACAGAGGACAGCGCCCGCATCTCCATCACTTTCTTCCGACTGTTTCGAGTCATGAGGCTGGTCAAGCTGCTCAGCAGAGGGGAGGGCATCCGCACTTTGCTTTGGACTTTTATCAAATCCTTCCAGGTAAGACCCAAGTTCATTTTAATTCATTTTGGTGTGTAATTGAAAATGAATGTTACTCATGTGAACATTTTGTTTGTTTTTGCCCAAAGGCTCTGCCATATGTTGCTCTTCTGATAGCCATGCTGTTCTTTATCTACGCTGTGATTGGGATGCAGGTGGGTAAATTCAATTACAATTCTACAAACATATTTTGAACTTCATGGGATTTCCTGATTTGTTTTGAATCCTCTTAGGTGTTTGGAAAGATAGCAATGGTGGATGGCACACAAATAAACAGAAACAACAACTTCCAGACCTTCCCTCAGGCCGTTCTGCTCCTCTTTAGGTGAGCTTCAGATGACCCAGGATTTTGGGGATTTATTTTTTTTTCAATTCACTACAAAATATACAATAAGGTACTTTATACAATAAAATGTGCAGGATTGTTACCAGAAACCCTTAGACAACATAAAATGTGCTAACCTCTATGTAAAATGCATAAGGTTCTATTAAAACAGTGAAACTTTTTTTTTTGTAGCTTATGAGAGACGATAAGAAACATCACTGCAAACTGAGTTACATATAAAGTTTAACATTTGAAGACTATAATCACTGGAAAGAAGCTGTGTAAATATAGTTTAAATAAATCCCTTAGTTACCAAATTTATCTCATAATTATGCAGATTAATATAATATAATTAATATTAAGGTCTTCCATTATGTAAAATTTCTTTAGAAATTGCATCAAGTACATTTGAAATATTGGCAAAAAACATGCAAAGTTACAATTTGGTGCTCTGTAAATACAGAGAATTATAGATTGCCTTGTTTCTATAGAGTAGCAGACTCAAATCCTCAATGTCATGTATCTCTTTAAAGTGTAAAGTGGGATTTAGAAACAGAAAAACTCCTCCACCAATTCTGCCCTTTCTATATCACGTTGTTAATACAGACTTTTGATTCATTATCAAAAGTCTTTATTGTATTGCGGTCTGTATATTTGTCATGGTTGAACATATTTATATAGATGTACAGACCTGTAGATGCTAACTGCGTATGCGTCATCATGGTTCATTTAGAAAAGAGTTTCCTGTGATTGTTTTACCTTAGAGTAACATGACATAAAGTGGTCTTTTATATTATACTGTATCATATTTTTTGTAATAAAATATCACACAAAGATCACAAAATATGTTATTAGTCTATGGTTGAATATGTGATGTGATGTCCAGGTGTGCCACTGGAGAGGCCTGGCAGGACATCATGCTGGCCTGTATGCCTGGGAAACTGTGTGACCCTGAGTCGGAAATTAACCAGGGAGAGGAGATGACCTGTGGCAGCGGCTTTGCTATTATTTACTTTATCACCTTTTACATGCTCTGCGCTTTTCTGGTACACATACTTTAATCTATGTGCATTTTATATAGGGATTGAACTGTTATGTTTTTGCTATGCATTTTACAGATTATAAACTTGTTTGTGGCTGTTATCATGGACAACTTTGACTATCTAACACGCGATTGGTCCATTCTTGGTCCACACCATCTGGATGAATTCAAAAGGATCTGGTCTGAGTATGACCCAGAGGCAAAGTAAGTGTTTTCATTCAAATTGTTCATATTACTTGCATTATTTCAAGTATTTTAAGTGGGTCTAAACTTCCAACTTTTTTGTTACTAAACTGTGTGTATGACATTTTAGATATATTTTCTACCTATTCTAGTTCATTTTTTGCCATGTTAATAGGTTCATTTGCAGCTTTGTGGTTGTGGCTTGTTAAATCCTTTACTTAATTTACATATCATCTGATGAATGTCTTTTTGTTTTTGTAAATGACAGAGAGAGAGAGAGACACAGACAGAGACACACAGAGAGCAAGAGAGAGATAGACAACAGAGAGAGAGAGACAGACACAGAGACAGAGAGAGAGAGAGACAGACAGAGAGAGTTTATATTATATACAATTATATTAACGCTGTTCCTCATTGGCCCCTCACTTTCCCCTTTAGTCTTGCAGCAACAATTAATTTTGAATTTCGATTGTGGGTGGAAAAACTTGTTAATGTCTAATATATACCAAACAGGGGCAGGATCAAACATCTGGATGTTGTGACTCTCCTGCGTCGTATCCAGCCGCCTCTTGGTTTTGGAAAACTCTGTCCTCACAGAGTGGCTTGCAAGGTCCTCAGTCCATTCATTTGTTTTTACTATATGTAACTAATATTCTAGTAGTTTATTACCTTGTATTGTTTTTTTGCAGAGGTTGGTAGCCATGAACATGCCCCTCAACAGTGATGGCACAGTTATGTTCAATGCTACTCTGTTTGCTCTGGTACGGACAGCTCTCAAGATCAAAACTGAAGGTGAGAATAATGCATTTTAGATTAAACAATTGCTCATATCATGTGGTTCATTATAGTTTATGATAATAATATCTTTGACCTGATGTTGTAGGCAATCTGGAGCAGGCCAATGAAGAGCTGCGGGCAGTCATCAAGAAAATATGGAAAAGGACTAGCATGAAGCTGTTGGATCAAGTAGTACCCCCTGCTGGTGGTTAGTACAATATCAACCTAAAACAAATAACTTTGCAAAAGCAATTGCTGCTTTTTTGTACCTTCAAAGTTTACAGTAATTGTAGGTTTAATCACAGTGTAATTTAGTGTTTATTGTATCTGAATACAATGCTTTGTTCTGGTTTACTCTCACCTGTGTGCCTCTTATCCATGTTTTTCTTGAGCCCTGGACACTGAAGGCCTCTGTCGGCTAGGCTGTTGCATGGCCTTATACAGAGCTGTACAGGAGCATGTGCAGTTTTACCCTCTCTCTCTGATCTGTCCCAAGTCCTTCTGCCTCTTTTACCTCCATTTCTCTGTTACCAAACTGGCTGAAGCTCTTCCGAATATTCTGAAGCAGTTCTGTTTTAGGGGGGTGGCATGGAACTGTTGCCTCTGTCTCCGATATCTGTCCCCAGCCTTTGCTTGAACCCAGTGATTCAGACCCCTGCTTCAGAATGATTCTTGTTTAGAAAATTTCTGTAGTATAGCATTATTGACCTCACACTTACATACTTACATACATACTGTAGGATCAGTCCACTGCTTGCTTGCTTGTGCTGTTACTATAGTCAAACAATTATTAGAAGATATAATTAATATTTCAACAAAAAAACATTGGTAACCCAAATCAAACACATACTTATGCTGCTATATTTATTGTTACTTGTACAGTTCATATTTAAATTATTTTATAAATGACATTTGCTCATTTCCTCATCTTCATCAGCATGTCTTAATACTGAGGAAGATGACACAGAAATGTGTTGCAGAATGAGATTTTGGTGCAACTGTCTTTAATGTGAGGAAATCCATTATAGATATCTATTTGTTTTTCCAGCTCTGAGGTACAGTATATACTCCATCCAGATGGAGGTATATCATTTTATAGTGATATTCTAACATTGTATCAGTGGTCCTGTAGTTTTATGTAGATGACCTCTGGAGCCTTTGTGTAGTGACCTGTGACACAGGAAGCATTTGTGTGGTCTGTTCACTCAGATGATGAGGTAACCGTGGGGAAGTTCTATGCCACTTTCCTGATACAGGACTACTTTAGGAAATTCAAGAAACGTAAAGAGGAAGGCCTAGTCGGTGAACACCCGACCCAGAACAACACAGCCATCGCTCTGCAGGTGAGTGTCTCTGCATTTGAGAGAGACACGGACTGACTGTAGCCACATAGTCTGTCTAACGTGCGTCTCACTTAGATAACATTTCTAATGTTATGGTTTATAACCAGCAGGACATTCATGATGTCGGTCTAATGTATGACTCTACTGTAAATAAGGTTTTTTGTGTCTGCTCTCACACATGTTGATGTTAAGTGTGTGTCACCGTGTCCATATTATGTACATATTTCCTCCTCATCTGCCCATCCAGCAACTCATAAAATCATATAATTTAAAATTGTAATATATGGCATATATTTTTATATATGCCATATTTTTTTTTCTTTTTATCAGAATTACTCGCTAGATTTTAATTTGTTTATATCACAGTCTTTGTGTTCATGCTAATTGTATTGACAATAGACCTATCCAGAGACAGCTAAATGAGCGAAGCGTTTGTCAAACAAAGCCTGGCTGGATGCCACACAAGTCATTTGAGCTCAACACTGAGTGCAGCAAGTTGCACATTTGTGTGTCTGTTCTCATTGTCACAGTGTGTCCTTAATGTAAATGTGCAGCCCCCACAGAGAGGTGTGTGTGTGTCGCCTGTCACATTTTATACTGTGAGCTGTGAGACCAAGGTCTCGGGCGAGTGCTTAGATATTCTGTTCATGGTTTCAGGCTGGCCTTCGCACTCTCCATGATATTGGGCCTGAAATCCGACGAGCCATTTCATGTGATCTGCAGGATGATGAACTAGTAGACTTTATCCCAGTGGAAGACGAGGAGGTTTATAGGGTAATGAATTCAATTTTACCCTACAGGGAGATTTATGGTCAAAGTTTTCTATATGTATGAATTCATTGGACATTTTAATGACAATAAACTATACAAGAATAAGAAACACTGCAACATTATAAGACATTGTCATCAGTAGTTCAACTGCTAAATACACAATAAATGGTAGCTATGGACAGTGTATTCAACATATTTTTGTGACCCACTGCATGGTTTTTCTCATTTTCAAAAAAACTAAAAATTACATTTAGTGAGCTCTCAAACATCATGAACCATCTTATTTTGCTCATAATATTTTGCTAAATAAACCATCAGCCTTAACATCAATTAAACTATGTGTGCTGGTATAATAATGCAGGTGAATTTACTTTTATTTTTTGTATTCACAGCGCAATGGGGGGCTTTTCAGTAACCACCTCATGAACGGCCACCATCGACGATCCAACGCACCTCAGACCAATGCCACACAGCGCCCCCTACAAGTGCAGCCCCCGCCCCACTACGCTCATATGGAGGAGCCCGTGGGCAGACTGTCCCGGGCCAATGCTATGGCCCACCCCAACCACCATCATCATCACCATCATCATCATCGGCACCATAATAACTCCTACGGCAAATCTCCCAAATCAACCAACATAAACCTGAACAACGCCAATGTGTCCAGCCTCCCTAATGGGCACCATCATTACTATGAGCATGTGCCCCCCAATGGCTATCCCGGTCTGCGGCCCAACTACTATGACAAAACTCCACAGGGACAAAGGTACTCCATTCTCACACTGTGGTTTCTTCAGTTGGAAGACACACATATTCAAGTTGTAATGTATTGTAGGCAGATATGTGGCAGCTTATCCTGTCTGCCAACTGTCTTAATTTAAAATAGTGTTTATTTAGGCATATAATTTTCTTATTTATTCTGTAAAGTACTTTGAATTACTTTGTGTAGTAACTGTGCTATACAAATAAACTTGCCTTGCCTAATCTCAAAGCTAGTCTATGCGCTGAAATACGTGTATGTATTTACACGAAAGTTACAAGAAAATATGCTGTTATGAAAACAAACATGATGATAATTGCTACCTTTCTTAAAGTTCTTTAAGTTTGATACTGACACATTTTCTTTCCTTTTTCCACACTGTTATCTGCAGATTCTGCAGCACCTTCAGCTCTTGTTTATTGTTTCTTTAAAGGCCAATCAGTTGCACTTCACTTAAAAGACAAATGGGTTTAGTGAGTTTCTTATCTAAAAAGAGGAAATTGAATTGTCAGCTATTGTAGTTTATCACATCTCATTCTCTCTCCCTCTTACATATATAATAATGCTGTATATGTCTCATATACTGTATAATATATATGTTGTACTTTCTCCATTATCTTCTGTGTCTTCCTCCCTTTCTCTCTCCTAACCTCTGCTTTCTCTCAACCATCCCTTTGCTTTCTGGAACAGAAGGCGCTACTATGAGACCTATGTTCGGTATGTTGTTTTAGGTCTGACAGGAGTAAAAGAGAGATTTGTGTATGCTTATCTATTTTCTAGCCATGCTTAGTCAGTGTGCTTATATGCTGGCCAGTCATTTATTCTCCTTTTATGACACAGTTATGTCAAAGGTATAAAGTGTGAGTGACCAGCATATATTAGAGGGGCCTGCTTTTTGCATGTATAGCCCTAACATGCTTGCTACAGAAGGAAATAATGCTATAAAGACTATTTGTGTTAGTAGTCCTAGAGTTTGTTGGATGCCATATGTACCTTAACAAGCACCTCATGTACAGTGATCGCCACAACAAATGTAAATATTCTGGTTAGGCACTGACTTGTTTAGCACTTCAGTATGCTGTGCACATAGTTTATTGCACCGATGCCCCTTGCAGGCTTCCATCTGCATGGCAGTGCATGATTGTATTCTTCTTTTAGTTTTACTCAAAGCACTGCATGTTCTCTGACCTAACTATCCACCTCACCTGCAGGTCCCAGGGCGGAGACAAGCGCCACCCAACGATCCGGAGAGAGGAGGAGTTTGACGAGGACCGCTTGTCTGGAGAGTACTACAGCGGGGAGGAGTTTTATGAGGACGACACAGGGGACAGGTCAGGTGTCAATAATAATAATAATAATAATAATAATAATAATAATAATAATAATGATTTAATATAGCCGCAAGTGGCAATGATTGGCCCTCGTGCGCGCCTATGCTTCAAACGCTGCGCCCCGCAAATGCTGTGCCCCTCAGAACGCCACGCCCTGCACTAACGCTAATAACCCTAAGCTTAAACCTAACCCTAGTCATAATCGTAACCATAGACCCAACACTAACTCTAACCCTTAACTTAACCCATAAATTTTTCAAAATTTTTGCATGTGTTTATTTAAAAAAAAACAAAAAATCCAAGATGGCAGACATCCAGGTTTGTAAACCGGCATGGTCACAATATACAATTTTGTTCCTATTGTCATGATGCATTTGGCTACCAAATTTGGTTTGGCTACACCAAAGTTTGTATAAGGACATCCCATTGGCAAGGACAGAATTTTGTCTTGTTGCCATGGCAACACAATGTAAATGGGATGTGGGCGTCACTGGGTTTTTTAATCGAGACCATGTCACAAATGTGGGTACAAAATTTTGTATATCTATGACAAATAAAACCTTATTTTTCCATACAAATTTTCTAGAGGGCGCTATTGCACTTACTTACATCATACTGTTCAGGATCAGGGTATGAACCCATAATTAAAATTTGAGTGAAATCGCTATTGCAACGGCGTAAAAAATATGACATGGGTGTCATCGATTTTTTGGATCAGGATGCCAAAATGGAATTTTGTGCAAAATAAAATTTGTTGTTCATTTTGTTTCAAAATTTCATTTTTTTTAAAACTAAATTTTGTTCTCCCATATTAAATTTTGTTTCAATCTATAGGGGGCACTAACTCCAAAATTGTGTGCATTTTTGTGGCTTCACTGCTCAGAGACTGTAAGACGAGTGTGAAAAATTTTGATAACTTTTGATGTTCCACCTCTTGAGATAATGTGAACCAAATGATGTTGGCGTAATAATATTTTTTCGTTGTCTTGTCATGATCGACTTCTGTGTCAAATTTCATGATTCTACATCCAAATTTTTTTTTGGTCCTCATTCCTTTGGGGGCGCTGACAAAACATTTTATTTATTTGTGGAAAATGGAAATAGCCAAAAGTTAGAGAAGTGGATGTTTTACCAGACGGCAAAATTTCCAGGGCTTTTCGTCGTTCGTTCGGTGGGGTGAAAAATGGGTGAGTTGGTTAGGGAAAAAAAAAAAAGAAGAGGAAGAAAGAAAGAAAGAATAACATTCTGATACGAGAATAATATTCAGCTTTATTCTGACCAATAAACTATACATTTTCGGAAACCTCTGGCGCATTGCTACGTCATGGCAAGGGTCCCTGGTCACTACGGGCGAGTCACATCGCGCCATTTAATTTTTCATTTTAATTTTTCAATAATAATAATAATAATAATAATAATAATAATAAATAAATAACAAGGTATACGTTTAGGCATAATCCTTGCATTTACAAAAATTATAATTCTTCTGTTGCTGACAGATATCAAAATAGTGATGCAGAGTATGAAACTCCAAAAGGCTACCACCACCCAGACAGTTACTACGATGATGATGAACAGCCCCTTTATCGTGATTCACGTCGATCACCAAAGAGACGTCTGCTTCCTGCCACACCTCAAGGTGATGTGTGACTAAATCTGTATCTCCCTTTTCCACTGTAGAGTGCGGTCTTGGATTTGTGTTTTAATGTTAAATTGTTTTGAAATAAAGTTTGCATATTCTCCATATTAAAGAGTTTTGTGTAATTTAGGTCACAGGAGACCATCTTTCAACTTTGAGTGTCTGCGCAGGCAAAGTAGTCAGGATGAGCTTCCACATCAGCGCACTGCGTTACCACTGCACCTTATGCAGCACCAGGTACAGCAGTCTACACACTATTGAACATTTAAACATGTTTCTCAAGGTTATAATAATTTAATGATTTTGGCAGGTCATGGCTGTAGCAGGACTGGACTCCAGCAGAGCCCACCGCCTCTCCCCGACCCGCTCCACTCGCTCCTGGGCCACACCCCCCACCACCCCAGCCAGTAAAGAGCAGTCACCCTACTACACCCCTCTGATTCGCGTGGACCACCCTCACAGGGAGAGCGTGGCTAGCAGCCAGGTGTCTGTCCGAAAGAGCTCTTGGTACACAGATGACCCTGAGTTCTCCCAGAGGATCTACTCTCCACTTCACCTTCAAGTGCCACCGGAGTACCACAGCCAGTACCACCAAAAGAGGGGCAGTGCCACCAGCCTGGTTGAAGCGGTGAGTTAGAACAACATTTTTCAGTAGCTGCTTCAGGTTATGTAAACATTGTAACAAGATTATAACATTTGTAACATTGTAACATTTTTTTTTCCATTAGGTTTTGATATCAGAAGGTCTTGGGAGATTTGCCAAGGATCCTAATTTTGTGGCTGCCACTAAGCATGAGATTGCAGATGCATGTGAAATGACAATAGATGAGATGGAGAGTGCAGCCAGTCACTTGTTAAATGGAGGCATGGCACCAGGTATCAATGGGGTCAGTGTGTTTCCGATACTGAACCCCAGGGACTATGACCTGCCGGACAATGCAGCCAGCTACAGTGACGAGGAGCCTGAGGCAGAGCCACGTGCTCACTATGAGGAGGACCTAGCAGATGAGATGATCTGTATCACCACTTTATAGCAGTGGCTGCTGAAACATTCAAACTTTTTCAGAAACAATCAGTTAAACATAAATGCATCTGTTGGCTCTAACCAAAAGAAGTGCCTTTACACCTGAGGAGAAAGGCATAAAACATTGTGTTCACCTGTTCTCTGCCCAAACAAGGTCCCGGTGCAGGAGTACACTCGAAGCCTTGGCCTGGAGGGGGCACACCCTGTAGCCAATTGGACGAGGGGACACTGATGCAGTGAAAGACCTGGACCAATGGCGGAGGGGCATACAGGGTGGTCTCAAAGGGTGATGACAATCAGATTTTTGATGTCATTACCTCAGTCACTTTACTAAGGTTTGGCATATCATGCAAGTTTTCAATGCAAGCATAGAAAGGCATATCTCCCTCTTAGTTTTAGCTGACCCCACTTTATTATTTCTAGGTAACAGTAAAAGCACCACCAGAGTTATATTAGATAATGCAGGACATGGCGGTCCTAATTATAGCATTTTTCACCTGGAGATGTACTTTTAAAGTGACAAACGCATTTGTAATAATGCACTAGAAGGCAGGTTATTTAAAATTTTAGAATAGCCTGATTAATATTTCATTGCTGTACATTGTATTATACAACAACTTTGTAAAGAGATTTATATTTTGTAATTATGTATCATTTTAAATATCAGCAATATGGTTCCAACTCCTATAACAAAAAAACATGTTTTCTTTTAGAGGGTATACAATTTTCCCTTTTATTTTTATGTGAATATGCATCAACTTGTGTTAAAACACCACAGCACTGCAGTGTGCTAAGGGTGTAATACAAATATAGATGATGTTCTTCCTAGAAACTGTTGCATGAGGTCAAGGTCATTTGGGAGGCCAGGCTGAGTGACGCAGTGTGATTTAATTTAATTCATAATGCACATTTTTGTGTATGTAGTGGTAGTAGTTTTGAATATGCACATTTGTTAAAAAAGCATGGTGCAATTATCAAAACTGCTTTGTTTGTTTGCTTTAATCCGTTTCACCAGGCCCCTATTAACACCTAGTTGCTGCTGGAAGACTGAAAAAGCTCAATGGATTTAGATGAGTTACTTACAGCAAGTGCTGTGATTTTTTCCCCCCATTTATTCCTGTTGATCATTTCCATTTAAACTGTCCTGATCAATTTAAATTGTCCACACAGAGTAAGAAGTATTTTAGGATGAGGACAAGATTGTGTCCTCTTGTCAGGACGCTGCAGAGAGCCTAAGCAATATTTGCCCTTTCCTTCTCTCTCAGTCGGCCTGTATACCTCGTTAGGCCAAGGTGACCACATATCATTCTGTCTATTTGATCTGTTTGTGAAATCGTCCCATAAGAGCTTTCCATGGAAGTCCTGTTAAAGACATTTGGTGTTGGGAGCTTTAAGGAAAAACAGAAAGACCAACCAGAGGACAGAGACATCACTTTTTTTTATCTTTTTATTGGTCAAGATAATATTTTAGCAATTAATCGCAAAGGGGTCCATGTTCATGAAGTATTTAAAATGCACAGGAGAGTATATGTTCTGTTCTCAGCTGATTACTAATCATGAATCTGTAGGTTTTTCCATTTTGTGTGCACATTGAAAGGGCTCTTTGAATTCTTTGTGAGTTAAACATGTTTTGTCCTTTTGTTGATGACTGTCATAAAAGGACCAATGCACAGGCACATTGTACTATTCGTAGCAAATACAGTGCTGATGAACTTAAGATATGCATTATTTTATACACTTTTCAAAGTGTAAAACTAAAGAGAAAATAACTTACTTTTACCTCAAGTCAGGGATTCCTGAGAAAATAAAATAAGGATTTGGTTTCTACCAATGATATGAACTTTAATATTAGCACATAGTTGTTTGTCTTTGCACAAGTAAATGTATAGTGCTTTGTTTTTTCCCTTTTTCTAAGACTTGTGTATCAAGGTGATACAATTTTGTATTTTTGTGACTGTGGTTTAGTGGAATCTATAATTGTGATTGACACCTCACCTGAAAATGCTGGGAGTGAAAGAGTATTTTAAAAAAAGGTGCACTGTCCCTTTGTTTCCAGATAAAAAATTGAAACCGTTTACAAAGACACCTACTGATTTGAATTTGCTTTCTTAATATTTTTTTCTAATTACAATTTAAACTATTAATGTTTCATATTCATATTCTGTGTAAACAAGAACTCTTATGTAAATTATGTACAAACATATGGAAAAACCCATGATAATCTTTACTTGAAAGCCTTTTTCCTTAAGTTTTTTAATTGGTAAAGATAATTTCACTCAGTAGCAATGCTTTACTCTAATCCCATAGGTTTTGTATTATCACATTTTTGTATATTTATTTTATGTTGGTCTATTTAAATCACATTATTTTCTATTGTTTTATCATTAAATGACTTAAGGTAAAATTAATCTGACCTGATTTCATTGCACCAGTAACACTATATAAAATACAGCTGTACATGTGATATATCTACAATAGCACACAGATTCATTACAGTGTTTTGACTTTTGTACTCAGTCACGATGGAGACACTTTGGAGACCCCAGACTCTACCATAGTGGTTGCCTCAGATCCTTCATCTTCCATAAGCTGTCCAGGACGACACAACAGGAACGGCACCGCATACTTACGAAACTGCAACAAGATTTTTTTCAAGTGTTTAGTAGAATACACATGACAAAACGATGCAAAAATCTTTTTTTCACTTGTATTTTAAGACAGGGTTCAATTAGTTGCAGAATTGACTGAAACAATTGAGTTATTACAGATTATTATTACAGATTGATTTATTATGGGTAAATGTGATCCACCAAAGAGTCAATGCAGTATTTATTTATTATATATATATATATATATATATATATATATATATATATATATATAATATATATTATATTATATTTTTTTTTTTTTTTTTTTTTTTTTTTTTTGTGACCTTAAACGGATAAATGATGGAACAACCCATTTGATAATTGTTCACTTAATTGACAATGCAAATTACATACATGATAGATTTTAGTTTTCATGTTTACATTTTAACAAAGTAAAATATGAAAAGTAGAAAGAAAGGAGGAAAAAAATGATTCTGCAAGGTTTTTCAATAGCCACAAATATTAGTTACCACTAGATGGTGCTCACAGCCCTATGACTTAAACCACATTTACTGCAATCTACACTCAAACATTACTTTCAGTGACGTACCTGTTTGTTGAGGTATATGTAGATGATGGGGTTGTAGGCTGTGCTGCTTTTTGCCAGGTAAACAGGGACAGTCCCCACCAGAGGGGAAATGGGCACACCAGGGAGGAATACCACAGTCATAGCAAGAGAGGCATAAGGCAACCAGCTCACCAAAAATGTCAGGACCATTAGGACCACCATGAAGGCCACTCGAGTCTCACCTTTGGCCACTGCACCTCCTTCTACACCCTCCCTCTTTGACACCTGGGGAAAAAATAATTGAAAATTCACAATGAGAACTAATATTTATTCAAGAAAACAAAAATATATTTTGTTAATCATGATCTTAACTATATAGTATCAAAATCCAAACTAATCTTTATCCACAACAATTAAACTAGGACCAAATGGTATTTATCAATAAGGGCTTAATACAGCTCTGAACAAATTTGATCATGACGTAATCCAGGACTGATCCAGGGCTATGCTTAAACTACTTAAGGACTTAACCAAGAGTAAATAGCAGCTATTAAACCTGTCTAAATCAATCAAATAAATTAAACTATTCAACTGTGTTAATTTGTTAACCTTGTGTAGAGTCCATAGCAGTTTCCCATATGACAGCACTATGAATGCAAAGGGAACAGCAAAGCACACAGTAAAGTATGACATGATATAGGACACATTGCTGGGCTCTCTGTTGTGCCAGTCTGGAGCACAGGATGTCCCGATTCCTTCCAGCTCATATCTGCCCCATCCAAACAGAGGGGGCAGGTTCCACGCTAAGGACCACAGCCACGAAAAGCCAATGCCCACCAGCGCATGGGTCTTATCAAAGGAGATGGGTCCAAGAGGTTTACAGACAACAAACATCCTCTCAACTGCAATCAGAGCCACTGTGCAGAGTGATGTGATACCTAAACACAAGAAAAGATATGAAGGAATGAGAAAACATTTAAAGGAGCACTATGTCACTTTTCTGCAGGGGGTGTGCCACTTGCTTGACTCTGTTGAGGTGTTATTCCTTTATCTAGAACTAGGAGCTTATGAGTTTTGGTTCAAACCAAAAAATTTTTTATGATGGTTATAAAACATGTACTAAAAATATTAGAAATAACTACTGACAAAATACTGATAATATTGGGAAAAAACAAACAAACTTTCTTTAAACTAAATAAATATTTTAAGCACACCCACCCATATATACATATATAGTTAAATCATAGCCTATCCAGATTGTTCTCAGATCAGCCATAAGATTGGCTAATCCTTTACAAAACATGTAGTAAGACAAGTGCTTTGCACCTACCACACAAGGCAACCGCAAAGCCCTCCAGAACACAGCCTGTGCGCCCCAGAGAGAAGTATCCGTGGGCATTGGTGATGACGGTGAGGGCGCCCCCGAACAGAGCACTGCCCAGGTCAGCCACTGCCAGGTTCACCAGAGCGTAGTTGAGTGGCTGCCTCAGCTGTTTGTGCATCAGGGACACAATGATCACTGTACCATTTAGCACGGTGGCCAGTCCCGTGAAAAACGCCATAATGACCGCGAGGAAGATGTAGCCTGGGCGGGAGAGAGGGGGGTCCTCCGGTGGGCCAAAGTACATTGAAGCATTTGGATGGAAAACTGACCCCGGCATGGTGAAGAGAGATGCCCGAAACTAGTTGTGAGAAGTCCGAACGTCAGTCGTAGAATAAGTACAGTACTATCTACAGGTGATGACTTCTAATCCCCACCCTTTTGCTTGATTACAAAGACACGTCAACAGGATAAGGAGAACAAGCATCTTTGACGGATCAGCGCTATGACAGCAAATGCTATAGCACATGGTAGAAATGTGTTACTATAAATAGAAAGGTTTTTTCAAAGAATGTGGACAGAAATAGTTCCTCAAGGTAGCTCTATCCTCATCCTACACTCCACCCCCCTGAGCAGTGTTAAAAAACAAAGGTCAGACAAAGTTTAATCAAGGATACACCAGGTTGTTAACAGAGCTTATACAACAGATGTTTACTTAATGTTTTACTGTCAATATAATCAATAAGACAGACGTGTGTAATTTGAATTATATGAAGTCTTTGTGTGGTTTGTTCCCTCACTCATTATCCCTCATTTGGGTAATTAACTTTGAGACAAAAGCAGGGTTGCAATAAAGGAGACAGTCACGCAATGAGTTGGAGGTGTCTGGTTTAACTTTTGGAGTTTGATGAGGAGTAATGTTGTGCTTTGTTTTTACTGTAGCTATTGTTGCTTTGTTGCATTTTGTTTTAATGTGTCTAATTACCGTCCTCATTTTTTACATTTGATTTAGTAACTATTCCCATTAGCTAAATGGAGCATTGAATATTCTCAGCTATTGATTAGATGTGAAACTTTGGTTAAAGCTGTAAAGTAAACCAGTTCACTTCAATTTTATAATGCTTAATTAAGTAGAGGTTCAACTGAAACATCTATGTATCTATATCTAACTATCTACCTCTCTTTCAGCAGTAAGTATATTAGTATGAATATAGTAGTATATTAGTAAAAGCCCATTGCCTTTGTACCCATTGCTTTCATGGCATATTCTGTTATGTTCTGAAAACAGTGTTTGTGTGTTGAATGATCATATTTAACCCTTTTAGTGCCCTTAAGTGACCACTTAAGCTTTTATTTACACACTATCAGCTGTACCCAAGAACACAAGATAACATATAGGGCACACTGCCCATGAGCATGCAAGTCCCATTTATTTAGTTTTGCCTCAAACTACAGATGCATTTTGCCCATGATGTTGGTCTTGTGTTCTGTATATATGAAATGGTAAATATATATATTTTTATATGCTTTCACTCTTTTCACTAAATATATAAAGCCTTAATTTCAATACAAATTTCCATTTCCTTTACTGAAGGATATTTGCTGACATTTTCTCAAGTAAGAAAGTCATATAACATGAATAATATAACATGAATGACAAAACTCAATGTCCACTTAATGTTGGTGTGGCTGAGGGCACAAAACAGGGTTAATCTGTCTGGTTTACCCACAGCCAAGTGCCCTGAGCTTCACCTTGTAAGAGGTTTACGTGCAATCAAGTCAAGCCTGAGATTAACTGTTTGATTCAACAGTTCACAGAAATCCAGCTAATCTGCATTGTAACTCAAAACAAACAAATAATCAATTTGATGTTCAGAGATAGTTTTCTTTCTTTACGATACTTGGAAAAGCTTCAGAAATGCAGAAACTAAGAGAATTGTCAATTCAGCACCATGGACAGCGACTAGCGTTAATAACTGAATTGTATGATTTAAAATGCTTATAAAGTACAGAATTGTGCTAAAGGTCGACTACAAATGGTAAATGGAAATCATAAATGGTAACAAAAATATAATATTACAAAATTAAAGTTATATCTTAGAGACAAAACAAATGGTGTACAACTGTATTTCAAAGGCATAGCATAGTTTTAATCTTGTAAAAGGTGTAGACGTAAATTTTCCAATAAATACATTTTTGAATATTACCTCGGAGTTTGACACGTGACCCATGACCCCACTACTTCTAATTTTAACTGAATTCGTGTTATACTGTCTAAAATCACACTCGCCCCAGGACAGGTCTCACTGTCTTTGTCCCCTTTAGCGCTATATGGAACAGGCACCTCACCGTTAAAACCGTCCCTCCAGTGGGATGATTTTGTCCATTATCGTGACAGAGCAGCACTTTTATCCACCGTCGATAGTTAATTAAAGCGTTGAGTGTATGGCCCGGATGATATTGTCCGTCAGCCAATCAGGGGGAGTCTTATCGGCGCGTGCCAGACGTGTACAGGGCTCCTCACAACTTTGATGTACGACGCAATTACTGTACTAACAAAACCTTCAAGTCCAAACGGGGCGGCCGAGGAGGCACCAAGCTGACTGGTAAAGAGAGAGAAAGAGAGTAGGCCCTCGTCTCTATGCCCGGGCTGTTATCAGATCATCTGCCCGCGTTATCACCATTCTGTTATAATACTCATCACAACACCGCCAAAGATGTAATACAAACAAGTCAGCGATTTTATTCACATACACCGCATTTTTAAATACCCTTGTTGAAAATGAAAGAAATGTTATCACATTTGCATTTGCGATGTGATTTTGAATTTATCTTACTCATTTGTTGCTGCTGGCTATAAAGCA